AGCCAAGGAAGAGGATGGCAAGTCCGGTTCCTTGAATCGAGAGCCCTTCACCTGTTCATTTTTGTTGATATGTAGTTTTAACATTTGTGCTCCACAACATGCTGCATGCTACACTGTAGGAGGGGAGGTCAGGAGCCCTGCGAACACGTGACTATAGGCGAGATGTGTGTTCCCATTCCTCAGTCGACAAAGAATAATCGAAAAATGACGATTTCTGGTGGAGAAGTGTCAAACTAGCTTCCTGCAAGTCCCAGTTTAACTTGTTGCTCGTCTGTAGAGTCCATCATGTCTGCCACTTCCCAAGGACAAGTGTCTGTGTGTGTGTGTGTATGACCTATGAAGACGCTAATGCGAATGCCGATGCAGTCTACTATGTAGCACAAATCCTGACTTGATAAACCTCAGTTATGATGACGAGACGTTGTATTAAAAGAATCCTCTGTTACTTGTGTCATGTTTCCCACACAACAGAATACTTCAGCTTCTCCCACTCATTTACAGGGACACAGTACTGTTATGGTCCGAGTACCGAGAAAACTCTATATACTTGTGCCACACATGGAGACGAGCTAACCACGCCTGTGTCTTGGACAGAGCAGACAGAGTACATTGGTAAATCTGAATACAGAGTGAACCGTGAACCAAGCATGAGAGCAGCAATGATTGCGTGGAGCTCTGCAGTGAATGCTCAGGTCTTGGTAGCTGTGCGAAACAAGAGTCCTTGCTAACGATCACGGCAAAGCAAACAAAACCCTTGCTCTTTGACCCATCAGTAAAAACGTCTATACTTGAAGCATGATCAAAAATATTCTCCATGAAATTAGCCAAAGACATTACCGGGGGTCGACACTTGGGGATCCCCATCAAATGCATACAAAGACGAGATTTTCTTACAGCATAGGAGGGCAGAGAGAGAGAGAGAGAGAGAGAGAGAGAGAGAGGGGGAGGAGGGGAGGGAGGGAGAGACCACCTTCAAAATTAAAGAGGAAAACTTTCGTTTGAGCATGAAACAACGAAGGAAACCTTGTGCTATGAGCAATGGATTTCGCCACGTTTTTCCATGACATCCCTATGCAACAACCAAAGCGTTAGCCAAGCTGTCTGGTGTATTGCCAGACCCAAAACAAAGAAGGCCCAATTCCTATAGACGAAGATGCAGATTTATCAAAGGTTTTCAATAAGGAAAGTATGAATGTATCCATGCCAACCCATATTCCTAGGTGAAGAACACGATTAAGCAAGCACTCTTTGAAAAGGGTGGCTAAGAAGTAGACCTGGCAGCCATACTCCCACCAGGCTGGAAAGATAAGAAGCCATATCCAGGAACAGTCCGCCAATTCGCTTCCCTGGTACTAAGGAAGAGCACTTGTTTGAGCATTATAACAGTTCAAAGAACCACTGCTAAGGATGCTAATATACAAATGAATCAGGAAAGATTCCTAAAGAGCTTCCTATCCAACACCCAGCAAGCCACGTCCACCATAGGGTGGTGGACGTTGCAGTCGCCCAGCAAGAGGAATATGTAGGATAGCTCACAAATTATGTTAACAGGAAAAGAGCAGGCCAGTCTGGAGGGAGGTACAAACATTATTCCGTGAGGTCCTTCTGCAAGTTCACAAGGATTGTTACAGATTCCAGGGAGTAATGGTGTCGAATCATATGTAACGGAGAGCAGCACAGACCAAGATGCCCACATTTCCCGTGGCGACAGCACCAGGAGGGGGTACCCACCCAAATATACCTTCCCAAGGATATGGGATCAGTAACTTATTAAGAAAGGATGATGTCCTTCCCTATCACCCTCTTCTTCTAGCCTCCCTTTCTTGGCATGATGGAAGGCTCGCCCATCAGGAGAGTTTCACCAACATCTGGACCACCCAAAATTGTCAACAAAGGCGGGGAGGATGGGCCGGTGGTCGCCTGGACAGGTGGTGGAGGCTGAATAGGACAAGTCCTCGAGAAAATTGAAGGACTTAGCCCCATGAGGACTGAGTCTTTCAGAACGGCTTCATAGAATAACCAAAATGCAGGATGTATGCCGTCTCGATGGAATCAATAAAATCCAGTTTCTCAACATTAGCATAGTGCAACAGAGACTCTCCTTCGTGTGTGCCACACATGCTCCATCATCACTTTTATGGGAGCCAGCACGGTTGCGTCACCATAACAATTGAGTATAAGGATGAACGATGTCAAATTCAGTCTCGTAAGCAATACCAGTGTTATGAGTTGCCTTACATTTGTGCATCTGGTGGCCAAACTTTTGGCTTTTGAAGCATTATACCAGGAAAGGAAAATACGACTTTATGTCCAGATCCTTCCATCCAAGATTTAGGTACAGAGAAAGGTCTGGATGATCGATTGTGAAGATTAGGGAATTAGTGCTTATCTGAACAAATCGTAAACCGCAACCACTCCAGGATTTAGAAATCTAATATTTTAACTCTCATGCTCTATCGTCCACTGATTCAAATAACAAGTGGTGGGCACATTTCTTCACAGGGTCACCATGATACAGGAGGAGGGCAGGATTATGCAGAGGCCCGAAGTTCTAGTCATTACACTCTCCTTTGAGACTATGTATGGGCGTTAAGCCCTCTTAGATTTTCCGATCAGCGGTCTATATGTAAAAGGTCGAAATGTCCTCCAAGGATCCGACACAAAGATGAGGACCACCCATCACCGAAGCAAGAAATGATCGAACACTATGGAAGCTGGAAATGACGTCAACTTTCTCATACGTATTACAGAAATAGACAGGGCCACTGGAACGTTTATCGACTCAAAAATAGAAGTGGTTTCAGGGCCAGAACCAACCAAAGCAACCAGGTGCCTAACTGTGTCTGGCTCTGAGTCGTTTCCATAAATCATTCCCGCATGAGCTACTTCAGTAAGAGCAAGCAAAAGAGGAAGATATCTTGACAGACGACAGACAAAAAGTGACACGAATGAAGTTTTCTCTCGGTTCTCTGTTTTGCGATAGTGAAGAGAAAAAGCAGAGTAAATGCGTTAAGTTAAAGACATATGATATTACTGGTTGACTAATAAAAAGAGGTCAGTGCCCTTCCACTGGTTTCCACGCTCCATACCAAAGTGACAGTGTTGACTGTCTTCCGGGGACCACGCCTTATCCAGCAAAGGGTATAGACAAGGAAAGACAGAGTGCAAGAAGCGCTAGCAGCATTTGCGTAGTAATGGACAAGGGCATACCGGGAAGAACATACATAACATAATAAGAATTACATAACAGAGAAGACCACCCATGGAACCGAAGGTGATCTCAGGTAATACTTTTCCGCCAGACAGCCACCGGATAAACCACCGTATTGCACCATCAGGAGGTATACCTGAAGCTTCACCTGACGATTCAGTTCTCTTTGGTTGGTTCAGATTATCTGAACACTACTAACGGTGGGAGCACAAGTAGAGTAACAGATGGTAACCTATTGTGGTTAGAGGCACGCACAGCATCTCTGCTCCTTCTCTAAGGACCCATGGGGAGATGTTGTCCGGTCCCATCGCCTTTGAGGTGTCAAGGTCACTTAAGAGCTTCTTCACCTCCTCCTCAGTTGTTCGTATGTCATCCAACACTTATTGGTATATTCCCTCTTGGACCCCCCATGTGGCTCCAGGTTTTCCCAATCAATCTCCTTGTGGTTGAAGTCGCCCATAACCAGTATCTTTGCTCTACTCGTGTGAGCTCTTCTGGCCACCTCAGCTAGTGTGTCCACCCCGGAGCAAAATTTAACAAATGGGAAAAACTTTGATGTTTAAGCTAATTTAAGGAAAGGAGATGGATGCTGCGTTCTTTGTCAGGAAAATTGACTGACTATCAACGGAGTCAGTATGTCGTGAGACAAAAACCTATTTCAGTAGTGTGGGTTTGTGGCTTTTGTAAAAAGAATTAGGTGTTTTGGCATGATAAGGGCGGGTCAGTGGTGTAGCTTTCTCAGTAACGGGGACTAGTATTGTAAGCCAGTAATGCTCATCACTAACCTGAATCAAGAACGTGAATCAGAAATTTTTGGACGAATTCGTTTACCGCTGCAACCTATTCTCATTTTTCCTACGTCAATTTTTTGACATGATACTTGATGTTAATTTCTTTGTGCATTCAATTTTTATTTTCAGATCATAGTTAGGTTAGGTTAATTTAAGCAGAGATATTTTTGAAAAGTTACGCTAGGTGAACCTAAAAAAAAATTGTGTCACCTTAATTAAATTATAAGGAAACGTCTGAGATGTCTCTGGCAACGAGGTGGCCGGGAAAAAAAAACTCAGGCAATGTTCAAATCTCAACGTTTATCATTCTTAGTACGAGACTCGTCTGACTAATTTATTAATATGGTTACTTGTTTACACAGTTCATTCACAAAAGGTTCAAATCTTAGTTTGTAACTTTTGACTCTCTGATAAAGAGGAAACTCGGCAAGAAAACGTGGCAAAAGAACAATAGAAACATACATCGTCAGACACGGTCAGAAATGGTCAGCAACGAACTGGCCTCCACATATCTGGACAAGGGGGTCAAGGCACTTGGTCTTTATCTACACTCACATAACTGGACCGAGAACACATCAAGCCACGGTCGCTGAACGCCGATACAGACATTCTGCGGATACCACATGTAATGTCTCCAGGCTCTGTGCGTAGCATACATTATCATGATGTATAAATAATAGATTGTATAAACTTGGTAATAAATACCGACAAATTTGTTTAGAAAGACACGTAAACGAACACTAGGACATATTTATTAGAAAACGTTTTGGTCCATCGAGCATGATCACTTCTAACATACAGAGGTTAAAAAGACAGTATATAATATAAGCGGAGAGTGAGGTGTGAGTGACGCATGGTGACCTGAAGAATGCCATATTGGGATGAGGACAGTAGACAATGTGATCATGTGACTCCTGTGTTGTTAGGTAAGTGATGCTTTGCCTGGTTGAGCATCACGTATGCTAATATTATAGAAGTCTTGTAGTTTCCAGTATTACGTTCTATGGTGGCGGTCAGGCTTCAAAACAACGTCGGCATCTAAGGTCTTGTTCAGTGAGGACGAGTTGTGCCTCATCCCAATTTATCAAATATCCTGTGGAGTCCCTGTGGAGGTATTGGAAAGTTGTGAGTTGTGAGGTCTTTGATGGATGATGTGTTCATGGTGAAAAATTTATGCAGCTATTATCAAATACTTGGCGAGATCGCCAAGTACATGTACATGAAACAAAGGCTTCTGTTGAAGAATTTGCCTACGTAACACAAGCCTTCACAGTCTACAGTTTCCATTTTTAGTCATCCGGAATTACAGATTCAAGGCGCAAGCTGTCCTCAAGAGATCCACTATGGAAAAGTCCTTAAGGCAGTTCATAGTGCTCCCGTGTGGTGATGTTGCCACAAATACTCGCCGGGCATTTGCTAAGAGTAACATAAATGTTTCCACCATAAACACATCATCCATCAAACACCTCACAACGAAACGTAGTCCCACAGCTCCAACTTCCATAGCGGGCGTCTACACCATCCCTTGTGGATATTCTTCCATAATTGAGCATCGAAACACCAGCAACAAAGACAACTTTAGGTACGCCTGTGTCCTCCATAAGAACTCCAGAGATCATTTAATGAATTTTGATGAGGCACAGGTGGTCCTCACCGTACAAGAGGCCGGGCCACCACTTGGAAAAGGCCCGGGCCGGGAGAATACCGGCGAATATTTAACTAACTAACTAACCGTACAAGACCTTAGACGCCGACGTTGTCTGGAAGCCTCACTTATCGCCGTCACGGACATCATAGAAGGTAACACTGGAAACTACAAAATTTCTAAAGCACTAGCATACATGATACTCAACCAGGCAAAGCAGCACCTACCCAGCATAACAGGAGTCACATGATCACATTGTCTACCCATTCTCATCCCAATGTAGTATTCTTCAGGTCACAATGCGTCACTCACACCTCACTCTACGCAATATGTACACTGTCTTCTTAACCTCTTTGTTAGAAGTGATCAAGGTCCCAGGACTGAAACGTTTTCTAATAAATATTTCCTAGTATTTGCTTACGTGTGTTTCTAAACCATAAATAATAGCTAAATACAAGTAATGTTATACAGTTAATTCCATCAGGAACAACACACCTTTGCTCTTAATGTTTTCAAAATGTAAGTTTTCTTAGTTTATCGAGTAAATCTTTTCAATGGTATGAATATATGTTATTTTCGGGAAAATCCGGGAAACGTTATTGTTATCCAATAGATGAGCTTCCTACTATTACGCGAGGTATATAATCTTGAAAGTTATTTTAGGTAGACTTGGACTGTAACTGTTCAATGAGAAAACTCAAATAAATAACTTCTCAAAAACTCAAAATTCTTGTACAAGTTTGTATGCAACAAAAATCACCAGGATTCAGTCCTATGTTAATGACGAAATATTTGCGTACTGAATGCAATGCAAGCGCTGGCGCCCTCCGATCTATCAGAGATTTTGTACACTTGTCTAACTATCCAGTCTAGTTATATTTATCACTGCTTTTATATCAGTATAGATTTTGAGATTCCTTTTTAAAAGGCAAAAAAAATAATCTAACGAGATGTTTTATGGTCGCTGTGTTACCGAGGGAGATATCTCCCGTAACATTAACCATTGCTTACTGTATCTTAAGCACACAAGAGACCTAGTAATTATACAGTACAGTTATGAGTCGCTTAATGACGGAGATACATTTGAGAAAATGTTGTTAGGCTATTTCATCGTTGTGCGAACGTCACAGAGTGTACTTACACAAACCTAGATGATATAGCCTGCTACACACCTAGGCTGTATGGAATAACCTATCTCTCTTAGGTTACAAACCTTAAGGGCTATGATGAAGACAACAATACGAGATTAAATCAAAGTACAAGGGAAAATGGTGATATCAAGAGACTCGGTAAAAAACATAACACAGCATTCTCTTTCACGGAAAACTTTTTTTTATAAGAAGAATGAATACACTCTAGAATAACGATAAAAAAATACAATATTGTAAATATATAGAGCAGTAACATAATAATGTTTTACGCTACGACGACAATGAACAATAGGAATTTTTCAGCTTCATTGTAATCATATGGGATCACAGTCGTCTATCCTGCGCGTCGTTGACCGAAAGGTCGTTATGCTGCGCATGACTGTACTTCAAAACTTGCTACAGCTCAACGCCCTCAACAGACGGAGTAATAAGCTATTCTAAAGTAAACATCCCGATATGGTCAAGAAGCTTCACCTTACAGGGCTGAGGGGCCCAGTGGCTTTAGCTCAACAATCTCAAGAAACCAAGGAGTTACAATTTAACACCTTCTAGAGACCCATGAGCTGTAACTGAACACCACTATAGAGAGAAATACAATAACACTGAACCCTTTACTGACGACAAACTACAGTCATCCGTGTGAGTGTAATGACAACAGTTAAAGATTATATATTGTAAATGCATTTGCGCGTCGGTCGTCGAGTCTTAATCTCTATTTTTTTTTTTTTTTTTTTGCTAGGTCAAACTTGCGACTTTGGCTTAAATAGCAACTCTCTCCTTGTCGAATAAGGCAAGCGAAAATTTGTGTATGCAATAATTTAACAAAAATCATTCTGAACCTAACGAAAAAAAATGTATTTCATTGTGTTTGTTTATTATTAAATTACTGTAAACTTATCTAAAACATATTTAGTTCGATTAGGCTAAATTAAATTGCGCTTGTTATAATAAGGTTAGGTAAGTTTTCTAAGGTTCTTTTGGCACAAAATTATTAATTTTTACATTAACATAAATGAAAAAAAGTATATCTTTAAACATATTAGAGAAAATTATAGAAAAGACTTGATTTTAAATGCTTCTGTTTGAGAACATGAAATTATATTATATATTCATGATTCGGTGAGCACTAAATCCACAGAGTCATACAGTACCTGGAGAAATGAGTGGCATTCGGTTTCTATCAAAGGGTGTGGAAAGGGCCTCTAATTCCTTGGATCAAGAGCCCTTCACCTGATTCAAGGATGATGGCTCGCGGCACCCACTAGCAAATCTTGATCAGGTGAACACACAAGGATGGTCATAGGACACATCCTTAATCCATTTCAGTGCGAAATCATTTTAATAATCTAGCAAGCACTCGAATCATTGAAATCCATACTACCAGGTACATCAATCATTTCGTTTACTGATTGCATCCTTCTTGGAGCCCCTTACTAACTAATGCATTGATGTAGTTTGTGAGGACAAACAGGATGACTTGAGCATGCAACAACGAATAGATGTGCACCAGTATACGAAAACTCAACACTAAATGTACTTGATAATCTCCTGAAATCGATACTCACAAAATTCACTCCAGTCTTCGCGTGAGTCATCCAGCAAACTTGTCGCAGTGATTGAACTTGCAGCTATACACGCCTCAGTAACAATGATTAGAATTATTAATGTGACCAAGTACTCGGATACTTTAACAGACTGTCAACAAGACGGATTCTCTCTAACAAATAGAGTCGCACTACAATAACGTAAAACACTCAACGATACCATCAACAAGTACGTTAATGTACTTGGCGACAGTAGTCACATGCCATTAGCATTCTCCAGAGATATTTCATCTCTTCACCATTTCGTCAATTGCAAAGCTCATTGACGAAGCGCTGCCTAAAGTATGAAAACCCTAGATCTTAATTTCCCAATCCCTTGCGGCGTCTTCAGCAAATGAATACACACACACACACACACACACACACACACACACACACACACACACACACACACACACACACACACACACACACACACACGGTACACAGAGTCTTGAACGACTCCTTACTGAGGTATCGGAACGCTATTCTTAGGTTTGCTAGGCACCCATATGCTGCAGCATATGGGTGTACGCCTCAGGAGATGTGCTCGGTATTATATTCACCCTATGATATTTTTCCTTGAGTGAGGTTTGCAGTCTTTGGTCACCTAGCTTATAATCCGTCTGCCGTCTTCTTTGCCCTTTCCTGATCAACATGACTTTGCGTTTGGCGGGGTTAAATTTGAGGAGCCAGTTGCTGTGTGTGCGTGTGTGTGTGTGTATTCACCTAGTTGTGGTTGCAGGGGTCGATTCATAACTCCTGGCCCCGTCTCTTCACTGGCCGCTACTGGGTCACTCTTCCTGCTTCATGAGCTTTATCATACCTCTTCTTAAAACTATGTATGGATCCCGCCTCCACTACATCACTTCCTAGATTATTCACTTCCTGACAACCCTGTGACTTAAGAAATACTTCCTAACGTCCCTGTGATTCATCTGAGTCTTCAACTTCCGACTGTGACCCCTTATTGCTGTGTCCCATATTGGGAACATCCTGTCTCTGTCCACCTTGACGAGTCCTCTCAGCACTTTATAAGTTGTTATCATATCCCCCCTATCTCTCCTGTCCTCCAGTGTCGTCAGGTCGATCTTCCTTAATCTTTCCTCGTAGGACATACCTCTTTGCTCCGGGACTAGTCTTGTCGCAAATCTTTGCACATTCTCTAGCTTCCTTAAATACTTGGCTAGGCGTGGGTTCCAAATTGCTACTGCATACTCCAATATGGCTTGACGTACACAGTGTACAGGGTCCTGAACGAGTCCATATTAAGATGTCGGAATGCTGTTCTGAGGTTTGCTAGGCGCCCATTTGCTGCAGCAGTTATTTGGTTGATGTGCGCCTCCGGAGATGTGCACGGTGTTATACTCACCCCAAGATCTTTTTCCTTGAGTGAGGTTTGCAGTCTCTGGCCCCTTAGACTATACTCCGTCTGCGCTCTTCTTTGCCCTTCCCCAATCGTCATGACTTTGCATTTGGTGGGGTTGAACTCCAGGAGCCAGTTGCTGGACCAGGTCTGCAGCCTGTCCAGATCCCTTTGTAATTATGCTTGGTCCTCATCCGATTGAATTCTTCTGTGTGTGTGTGTGTGTGTGTGTGTGTGTGTGTGTGTGTGTGTGTGTGTGTGTGTGTGTGTGTGTGTGTGTGTGTGTGTGTGTGTATGTGTGTGTGTGTGTTGTGTGCGTGTGTGTGTGTG